TGACCCATGTTCTAAGTTCTCGTTTGATCGCATACATATGTGCAGCATGATGTTGGTCCCATTTGCGTTGAAGGTACTCGGCGAATTTGATTTTTATCATATGAATAGCGTCCCCTTGGGCCATAGGTTCCACAACTGGATCAGGTCGCATTGCAGCCTCCTTTGCGAGGACATCCGCACGTTCATTTCCTGCAATACCGTAATGACCTGGAACCCAAAGAAGGGTCACATGCTGGCCCTCATTGAGATCTGATGTGATCCTGAGAATATTGTAGATACCGTGGTGGGTAACATTATCGGTCCTTTCCAGTGCTTGAAGAGCGGATTTCGAATCAGTACAGATGGTTGCCCGATCAATCTTTTCTGCCTTGATGTGCTCCATAACTTTTTCGATTGCGTGAACTTCGGCACTAAAGACTGTCGTAAATTCTTGAAGCCGGGTCCCAAACCTAAGCCCAGGGCCGACGGCTGCTGAACCTATCTGATTTTCGTGACATGAGCCATCTGTGAAGAAAAAAGCAGAGTCGCAGTTGAGCTCTACATACTCCTGGAAGAGCATTTGAGCTTCCACCGGAGGTATACTGGTCTTCTTATAATCAAAAAGAAATTCAATGGATAGGTCTTTGAGGAGCCAAAATGGAATCATAGGAGGATTTAGAGTAACTTCAGTGCGCCTAATGTTTAGCAGTTGATGAGCTTGCTCAAGGCACCCGGGTAGAAAGCACGATCTACGCAGTGGGCGTCGGGTTCTTGGTTTCCTCGCCTCCATTGCTGGTACCGCAATGTGATTTCGAACACTTTTTGCTCTGTAGTAATAGCGGAGGAAAAGAAAGACGCGTCGGTCATCAAGTGCTGGAATGCCGGTATCTGCACGAAGCGCAAGAACTGGCGATGTGCGAAAAGCCCCAGTTAGAAGTCTCAAGCACGTTGATTGAACGGCTTCTAGACGTTTGCATAAACTGGGCGACAGTGTGCTAAACAGATAACAATTGTACTCAATCGTAGATCTGATTAGCCCAATATACAACATTTGCAATGTTTTCCTGTCCGCACCCCAAGAAAACCCACATATGCATCTTAGGACATTGATTCGTTTAATACAACGTGCTCTTAGGTGCTCAACGTGTTGACGGAAGGTTAGATTAGTATCCAAAATGATCCCTAGAAATTTGTGTGACGTGGAAAAAGGTATTTTAATCCCATCGATGTGTGGGGATCTTTCAAGCGATGGACGGGGTCCACGTTTGAAGACCATCATGACTGATTTTGGTGCTGACAAAAAGAATCCCCATTTTGTGCACCATTTAACGCAGTGATCAACCACTGTTTGCAATATAGAATAAGCCTGTTTGTAGTTTTTGTGGGATACCCATATTGCTATATCATCAGCAAAAAGCGAATAGCGGACAGAAAATGTTAGAACACGTGGCAGGAGTAGGAGCATATCGTTCAGGGCAATCAAGAACAGCGTAGGTGACAGCACGCTGCCTTGAGGGACGCCATGTTCCATTACAAAGTCGTCAGAAAGTGTCGCTTGGCAACGAACTTTGAAAGTTCGGGGTTTTAGGAAATTTTGAAGAAACGCAGCCAAATGGCCTCTGATTCCGATTGAGTGCAGCTTATAAATTATCGTCGAACTGTGTACCTTGTTGAAGGCTGACATTAGATCTAGGAAAATAGCAACAGTCGGTCGCCTATGTTCCCAGTTTACCTGGATGTCCGAGATAAGGCGAATGATATTGTCTGCCGTACTACGATTTTTCTGAAAACCGCTTTGACATATATCAATGCAATGGTTGCTCTCAAGGTAAAATCGCAGGCGCCTGTTTACCATTCTTTCGAAAATCTTGGAGACACAATTGGTTAGTGAGATTGGGCGATACGAATTTGCGTCGTGCTGGTCTTTGCCGGGTTTGAGGATAGGTATGATTATACTTTTAAGCCATTCATCCGGGAAGTTGTCCTCAGTCCATAGTTTGTTGAATGCTATCAGTAGTGTGGAAAGGTTAAGTTCGTTCAATTTTGTGAAAAAAGAATATGGAATGGAGTCTGGTCCTACCGAAGTTTTAGTGCTTGCCTTTGCTAGGGATAGTTTAAGTTCTCTTAGGGTAAAAGGAGCATTGTATGGTTCAGAGTTTGCAGAAGAAAAATCAAGATTTACTGTTCTATTAACGAGAGCTCGATGCACGCTCAAGGAGTAAATATCTGTAGACGATGTGTTGGCAAAGTGTTGGGCAAATATATTTGTGACGGTAACTGGGTCAGTTACGAATATATTGTTTGAAAGCAATTGCGGAAAGGCACCTAAATTAGTTCGTCGTGAGGCGAAAGCACGAACATGACTCCAGAGTTCGCTGAGCGGGGTAAAACGATTACATTTAGCGGCATAGTTTTGCCATGCCGCCTTCTTTTCTTTGTATATAGTTTCCGCACATTCTTTACGGGCAGCGGTATACAGTTGGGCATGTCTGGGACATATGCATCTCTGGAAGTTTCTGAAGGCTCTTTTTCTTATTGCTTTGGCTCTTTGGCATTTCCAGTTCCACCAGACAAGATTTTTAGATTCATTTGCAGTTCCAATCTTAATAGTTTTTTCTTTTAGCGTTTCACTGGCCGATTTCTTCATAGCCCCCATAAAATTGGAAATGGTCTGAGACAGGCCGTAGGGAGCATGTCTGTTGACCTTTGCGTTAAAGCCCGACCAATCCGCGTTATTTGTTTGCCATACCTTCAGTGTCGGTGCTGGTGACAGCGTGGTTGCACTGGTAAGCATGATGTGAATTGGATAATGGTCTGAAAACAGCGGATCCGATGTTACGGTCCATCTAAAGAGCGGTGCGATCCTCGGGGAAGAAATTGACAAGTCAATTGCAGAGGTTGTGTGGTAGCTACTACTGACAAACGTTGGGTTGCCGTCGTTCATAGCTACAAGGGACTGGCGGTTTAGTGCAGCTTCAATTATCCTGCCTCTCGGCGATAAGTGTCGGCTGCCCCATAGTGGACTATGACCATTGAAATCGCCGAGCAGAAGGCAATTTTCTGGCATTTGCTCTAGAAGGTCATTCAGATTTTGCTGGTTTACAACAGTTGCATTTGGCGGCAAATACACTGAAACAACCAACAACTCGCGGTTTAGTAGTGAAACAGTAGCTGCTACAACATTTAGCGGGGAAGCTATGTTTGTTTTCCGTTGTGACACTGAGTTTGCTACATAAAGAGCTACGCCACCCTGTCTATTTGCTAGATTTATGTCCTGTCTGTACAAAGTATATCCAGCCACATTGTAATTGTAATGATCTGTGCTTTTAAAATGAGTTTCCTGAATCGCCGCTAGAAGAGGAGCTTCCTTTTGTATATACTGTTTAAATTCAGACAAATGGGATAGAAGTCCTCCTACATTCCATTGAAGCAAAAAATCCATTGCAGCAGCTATCTAGTTTGTTTGGCGCGCTATTCTGGGATGAAGGATCGTCTGGTCACGACCTGGGTACGAAGGCCCACATTTTTCCTCTCCTTTGTTGAGCGTGCTCGGAGGCGAGTTTTGGGGCCTTCTGCATGGAGGGTGAGCTGAGTGTCGGAATCGCTGTCATCAATGACTGATGGCGATCGCAGGACGGAAGACACGGCGACCATTTTGGGGGTCTCCTCGTCCTCGCTCGTCGTATTGGCATCATAGCATGTGTCGTCGTCGGAATCTGTAGCCCTTGTCCGGTGGAGTGGTGTAACTACGGAGACGCCAGTTGGGTTGCTGGGGGACATTTCACAGGTGCCTGGTGTTTGGGCCTGGTGTCGTGTCCCACCACTTTTGTGCGGGCCTGTTTCTCGCTGATCAACCACGGTGGGAGAGTCAGGGTGGACTGTCTTGGGTGTCGGTGTCGACCGGGCGCAGCCTACATCGATAGACCGAGCGAGTTCCGGCGTCGCGGCCGTGCGCTTCCGAGCATGGGTGCTTGGGTGGTCTGGCGGGCTCGTGTCTTTGCGGGCTGGTGGCGTCAGCTTTGCGTGACGTGCGACATGGGGCAGATCCCGAGGGGGTGGGAGCTCTGGCCAGTCCTGTGGGCGGTTTGCAGCCTGGGATATCTGAGCCTGTGTTTGTCCCACATGGCGCGGGACTCCCTCGTGGTGGGAGGTGCTGGGCTGGGTCATGGGGGGTGACCCACCGTGGGTGCCAGCCACGTGTCCAGATCTGCGTTGTGTGGCCTCGCGGAGCTCCTGCACCTTTGCAACCCACACGGGACAGTTCTTGTCAGTCACTGGGTGCGGTCCATTGCATGCAGCACAGTGGGGAGGGGCGACACACCCTGTAGACGGATGCTCCTCTGAGCAACGTTTGCATATTTCAGCACGAGACCTACATGTGCCTTGTCCGTGTCCATAACGCTGGCACTTGCCACAGCGCCGAGGCAGCTGGTGAGATGGCCTGACTTCATAGCGCATGTACACTGCATAAAGGTGTTCAGGCAGCTGTGTGGCCGAAAACCTCACCTTGAGCAGTGGGTTCGGTCTGGAATTTTTTGAAGGGAGGCGTGTGACACTTGTGACACCCTGGTCACGGCTTTCCTCAAGTATGGTTTGAGGAGACTCCATTGAGAGCTCAGGGGCATAGACCATCCCCTCCACCTGGTTTAGGCGGTCTGCTGGAATCACAGAGATGTCCTCCCCCCTGAATGACCTCCAGGCTAGCAGAGCCTCGGTCTGGTACATGTCCCTCGTTTTGACAAGCAGAGAGCCGCTTCGAATGTTTGTTGATGTTTTTGTGCAAGTGTGGCTGTTTTTTTTTAGTGGCCGCAACTAAAAACTCGCGCAGTAAATGTCTGATGTGCTTCATATCTGAAGCAAAAAGCTTCTCTGTTTTATTTTCTATCCACTGCGTACGTAAGCAGAAGTGCACTGATCAAAGTTAGAGCTCACGCTTCCACCGGGTTTCCATTCGCCGGCTGTCCTGCGCGCGAGCAGTATTTCTCGTTCTGAACAGAGCGTATACCAACAATTGGAAGAAGACGGGATGGCCCTTCAAGGCCGGGGGAGAAGCACACGAAGTCATTCAGCTTAGGATGTTTGCGTGCTATTTTATTGTGGAATATCGTGTGTGAGCGGTGTGAATAACAGATGAAGTATAATTTGTCTTGAAAAAGCCTTGTGGTAAAATGACCAGTATCTTTTTTACTAGAACATGTCACATCGTCAAACGTTTTGGACAAACAATTCAGGAAGGTAAAGTGAAAGGAAGACTGACCAGTCTTACATCGAAATCAAGATTGGTAATAGATGAAACTTGGAGTGTGGCACACTGTAGACACTTACAAGGTATCTGCTTCGCCCATCAGACATCAAGGAAGCCTGCGGTGCCCCACGAGCATGCTCAGCTATCAAAGATTCAAATTATATCAATCCGCCACAAGAAAAAGAAAGCTTCAAGCTCTCCTGTGAGTACACCCACCTAATTCGTTTTCACCTACTTTTGAAACTGTTTATCTGTTTTGTAGCAGTTGTAAATACTCCTGCTAATAAAATGTGGTATGATGCTCTTTTCCATGATAGTTGCAAGCTGTGACATGACAATGCTAGGCTGGTCAAATTGATTTCATGTTCCAGGTTGAGGATGGAGATGACTCTGATGGCTCAGAAGATGATGATGAGCAGGGAAATGATTTCAAAGTTCTGAAAGGAAGTGTGAACTCAACACGGATTGACTCTGTTCTCAAGTTTGCCCTTGGGATGTCAAGAAAGTGAGTAGGAAAACTATGATGTGCTCATGCGTATTACTACTGTTTGTTCTTACACAGTACACACATTTTATTCATAATAAGCATGCAACTTAGATAAGGCTTTTCTGCCTGTTGTTATTAATTTGTAAACAATGACAAACATAGCTTAGTAACCACTCAAACAAAATTATTTTCTTTAGGCTGAGTATCCAAAAGGAGTCTATGCATTGAGTGATGCCCCATTCTGAAGCTGGAACTTACAAGCTTCAAGAAAAGACACCAGTAACATCACCTATTGCAGCTTATGTCAATAACCATAATTATTGTCTCATGTTCCTGCCATTTTTTTCAGCAAAGTTGAAAATGCTTTCTATAGCAACAGCATCTACCTCAACGGTGAAAGGCTGGACAAGAAGAAACACTCTGTAAGGAGCCATTTGGGTGGTTGGCCTATGGTATTTGCCACCTTTTGTGGTTCAAACTTAAAATTGGAGATGTATTTATGTCTCATGATGTGTATTGTCCATTAAAGCACCTGATCTTCAGATGTTACTTTCATCCCTATTGTGTGGCTATCTCAAAGCTTATTCATGTGTCTTCCAGCTCGCCATTTCGCCATTCACCATGGTCATTCCACTTCAGGAGCTCAGATTACCACTAATTGATTTTGACATTTCCATTTAATCAGGTGACGATTGAAGATGAGGTGGACGTCGTGCGCGGGCTCAACACTCTGAACCCCTCCTTCATCGACGTGCACCGGGTCGAGGTGCTAGACATACAACGATCGCGTACGGATCCTGACAAACTGGTCATCAAAGTCAAGCGCTTCAAACGACTCACTATCGATAACTACGCGCGCCCCTGGAAACCGCCGGCATCAGAGTGACGGGGTAGCTGGTAGGCGATGATTTGATTTGTGATCAGCAATGAATTTTGTACATCTTTCGGCTGAACTCTGGTTTTTGAACGTGTTGTTACTGAGTGCCCATTGTTGCCAATTTATTGTAAGTGAGTGGATGGTGTAATAATACACTGAAAGTTAGTTTGCTTATTTCTACATCACCCAGCTATTTCAAAAGTCGGTGTCTATGCAGCACCAATGAAAAACACTGAAAGACGGTAGTTGTAACTAAGTACTTGCACATACTTGATATTGACCCAGCTGTAGAACAATCAACAAGTACCTGTCTTACACTGACACATGACTTATTATCAACACTCACCAGACAGCTGATCAAGGCCGAAACCACTACCAGTCTGGATGATGATAAAGAGGTGTAGTCATCCAGCCTATCTCAATCCCCTGTGGACCATAAATTAATGTCATTTCAGATCTCAAGCCGTGGGTACATTACAGGAAATTGACCATTTTGGAATGTACCTATCCTTTCTTTTTTTGTCGCTGATTAGGCAATATTAGGTTAAAACTTAAAACCTTTCTGCAGATCTGCCAGGCCACAGGCCACAGGGCCGTGACCAGTGAGAGCCTGGACAGTACCTGTTTCAGGAATCAGAATAGGTAGGGCCTGGGGACTGGACAGATAACACTAGGAAACTCAGTAGATCAGATTGAGATGGGTAACGTAACTGGAGTCTGGCAGTCTCGAGCTATTTCAATTCAATTCAATATCAATTTCAATTGAATTTCAATTTTGATTGGCAAGGGTGCTTTTTCAGCATGGCTACACTTCAACACAGCCAATATAAATAATAAAGGTCATTAGGTACCCTTTCGAGTAATCACACCCTTTCACTTTACTCGAGAGATGCCTCTTCTTCTGACGTTACTTGAATGAGTATCATATATTGAATCATATGTTACTTGAATGAGTATAAGCTATTACCTAACTACATTTAAAGACATGATGTGGAGATGAATTGTGAATTAAAATGAAATCGGACTTACTCCACAAGAGTTCGTTGGGTCGGAGCTTTCGAATTGTATTCAAGACAGGACAACAAGTTCACTACAAATGTCTACCGGAAGGCATGCACCACTAACCAAGTACCGGCCTTCAACTCCTATACAGAGACGCGCTATCTGAGATCAGCCATCAGATCTGACTGCTTACGTGCCATCCGCTACTGCTCCTCCGTCAAAGACCGCCTGCAAGAACTTGATTTTATACGCAAGAAATTCCACCGACACGGCTACCCTCTCTCGTTCATCAACCCGATCCTAAGAAGAACAGAAAACGACCTCCAGCTGAAGGCCAGGGCTCTGCCGTCGCCACCGAACCCCAGCCCGCTGCCTGCACCCGTCCGGCTCTCGGTTCCGTTCGCTGGTCCCTGCTTCTACCAACTGAAGCGAGAAGCCAACAAGATCGGCATTCAGCTCGTGTCGAAGCCGTCGCAGACCATCGGGACCCTCCTCTGTAGCCAAGCCAAGCACCGTCTACCCAAGCAGCAGGAGAGCAATGTCATCTACTGCATCGAGTGCTCCTGCCGGGTAGAAGGTGACCCGGTCGTCTACATCGGAGAAACGGACCGAGAACTTGGAACCAGAGTCCGCGAGCACCGAGAGAGCTGGGCTGGCTCGGTCCGCTCCAGAGCCAACGCTTCAGCGTTCAGCACGCACCGGGACTGCACGCCGGCCTTCGACGACGCCAAAATCCTGAACCGTGCCTGCCACCACCAGATGAGACTCCTTCTCGAATCGGCCTACATTCGTACCGTGGGACGGCGGGAAGCCGTCCTAGTGTCACCCAATGACGCGAATGTGAACCGCAACTCTGGTGCCCTGCTGCAAGACAGGTGGCTTCCCATTATTCGCCGTTTCTGCCGTTAAAAAGTTCATTTATAGAATTTATCATTTTGATATTTTATATCTTAGTCTAGTTTACTATTCGTGTTTTTGTAAAGCTTTATCTCTGCTTTAGGTACTGTTTGCACCTAATCTATGCAATTTTTTACATGTCATTAACTGTATTTTCACCTACCTGCCTATATTTTTGTATTAGATATTTTACTAGTGTGTTTTATACCCATTTTACAGGCTTTTTCTAGTAAGTGTGCATCCTGTTATTATTCACGTGTTTTCCCAGTGTTTGTATGTTTATTTCAAGACCAACTAGTTGCCTCAGAGACCCTCCTGTCCGACCCATATTTTGTTCGATCCGCACTGTACCTTCGATTCGATCTTAACATCCGATACGACTCTCGCTGACGAAGAATTGTAATACAATTCGAAAGCTCCGACCCAACGAACTCTTGTGGAGTAAGTCCGATTTCATTTTAATTCACTATTACCTAACTAGTACAGGAGCTCACTTGAGCTCACTTTACGCCCATTTTACAGCCCAGAAAGTTACAGCCCATGTTTCAGCCCACTGTTTACTTTTTGGTAAACGTCTTTCGTGCGCCACAACCATGCCAACTGCCAAAAAGGTAAACAAAACAAACGACCTCGTATACTAAAGAACAGTTGCGTCATCAAAATTTACACTATTTGACTCAAATGTCCAGCGAGTTAGATAAATAGTCAGTAAACAGACGAATCAGAGTACAGGGATTGTGACGTCATTAAAATAAGCAGCCAAGTAGAATGTCAGCGAAGGTGTTTCATCCTTGGCTTGGTCAGACAGACACACGCAAAACACACCAAAAAACACACGAGTCTGAGCACGTAGGAGGTGTTATTATATATCTACCTTGCACGTAGGTAGTCGTGTGAAGATTTTATGTTGATCCTGTATGATAGATAAAAGTACACTGGTACAGTCATGTCACGGGAAGAGCTAAAAACACGAATAGATCCTTACCTGAAGAGGATCGATGCCGACGGAGAAGATATCGGCATCCCGCCGGGAGTGACGTGTTTTGGAAGAGGTCCGTTTCTAAAGGTGGGTATCAATATCTGGATATCTGTAAGTATCACTTCATTGTAATATATGCCATAAATTTGACGATGCCATTGAATTTTATACACTCTTACAATTGACTCAAAGAACAAATTTTTTTATATATTTTTTTTATAAATTTAGTCCGAGTGGTTGAATGGGTGGATTTGAGGAATCAGAGCCCGCACTAAGCATAGCTTGTTGTGCTGACCCTGACTCCACCACCCGATCGCGCAATTCCAGTTGTATGGCAGAATTTTGTCCGAATGTTTAACGTGCCCTCACGACTGGACACGGCCCCCTCCGCTCACTCACGTTACCTGGCTTCTGTGCGGCCCCTGCCACGACACGCATGCCATTACACGTAGGAGCTAAATGTGGCCGCCCGCACCGGGGCTTGAACCGGGCTCTCACCACCGGCTAAGCGTCGAATTCCGGAGCTTTAATCCACTCGGCCACGGAGGGGACTATTAAGTAGGTATTTAGAAATTAAGTAGGTATTTGTAAAAAATGTAGGAAATTCACTGTTAGGAAGTTAGTACATAATAGCAACCAATACTGTGCTTTACCCCTTATGTTTTTGTGCATGATTCAGTGTATTTGTCATTTTCAGTGCAAGGACAAGAAGGTGTCGAGAAATCATGGCCTGCTGGAGCTCGCCTCTGATGGACAAATTTACATCACAACTGTAAGCTATTTGCTGATTCTCATAAGTCTGAGGCTTCCAATGGTTGGGTGAATTTCTGCTTTCGCATCCTTTAAAAACTGGAGAAATTCACCAAAAAAAAAAAAAGAGAAATGAAACTGTAAAGAAAGAACATATCCTTCTCAGGTTGAAAAATGAGATTACTTACCACACATTGAACATAAATCGCTGACCTAGAAAATTAATTAAATTATTTCTGTCACAGTCTGTCTGGTCAACCTGCATTGTCTGTGCATTCATTGGGAATTGTGTTACCTTCTAAGTTTGTAAAAAGAGTAAGGTACTGACTGCAGATTCCTGCTGATGTTGGAATTGCTCTTTATCTGTTTTTCCCTGTTTTCAGATACATTCTATCTTATATGTGAGGCCTGCTGGCAAGAGTGAGGTTAAACATCTGGCAAAGGACGAGAAGCAGCTCCTCCTTGATGGGGATGAGTTTCGTCTTCTACCAGAAACCTTCTGCTACAAACTCTGTGTTCCAAACACACCTGGCACTGCAGAAGACAAACATCCACCCACTACAGTTGGTGACACCAAGACAGAAATAACCAGTCCTAATGAAGGGGGAAGAGGACTCACTGAAGATGACCAGCCTAGTGACAGTCTCCAAGGGATCTCTCAGACTAAGAACACTGCCAGTACCAGTGGTGCCAACAAGGAGGAAGCTGGTCCAGCTCCTGAAACTGTCCTGGCTGAAGAAAACAGAGTGGGTGTTACTTCTGACAAGACCACCACAGACACAGGAGCTGATAATGTCACTGCTGAAGACGATTCCTTGCCACCAAGGGTGGCCCCAGGGCCTTCTGAGACCTCTGTCCTGCCACATGGTGCTCAGGCAGATGAGTTGACAAGACCCAGTCACAGTGCAAGGAACCAGGGAGAAGGGGCATCTAAGGCGGCAGCTTCATCAAGGGCTACAACAGACCATGCTGCTGGAGCACTGAGCAATGGTGTTGGAAAGGTACCTATGAAGTAGTAGTGCAATGCATTGTGCTCCTGTCAATGTTCTATTTTAATGTCTCCAGTTTTTTTTTGTGAATTTCACAATTATTTGTGCACACAGTTTTTGCTATCTCATTTGTAGAAAATTCAACTTAATTATACCTAACTAAAATTCCTTAGTTTTATTTTTATTTACCCATGAACATGTCTGCCTTCCTCAGGTGCCAGTCATAAACGGCTCTACCCGAAAACGGAAGCTGCCGGCCTTCCTTCTGGACCTGGATGTGGACTCTGCCGTGTGTGCCGCCGGCCCCTCCGCTGACACTCTGAAGAAGCGCGGCCGCCCGCGGCCGGGGGGCGCTCGAGGAGGGTCCTCGGTCGGCCGGGGACAGCAGAGGGCGTCCCCGGGCACCAGCGGCACCCCACGGGGCCGGGGCCGCGGCCGACAGCGCCCCTCGGAGAGGCAGCAGCTCTCACAGCAGTCGGACGACGAGCTGGCGCCGCCGACTCCGCCGTCCGCGCCGCCGCCGCCGCAGAGCACGGACGCTGCAGCGGAGACTGCAGCGTCTACTGAGGATCCATCGGTGACGAAATCTCCCGCCTCCAAGGCCTCACCGCCGCAGGAGTCCTCTCCAACCATAGACGTCGGGTCTCCGTCTGATGAACAGGTCACGGCCGCCGCTAGCGCTTCCACCGGGCCGGCACCAAGCTCTAGTTCGCCACTCACTCGGAAGGTGGCAGCACAGGACAACTCGCTCAGGGGACACGCAGTGTCTGATGATAGCGGTGACGAAGATGACCCCGCTGCGGCGAGCTCCAGCCAGCGAGAATGCTGCGCCTATGGGGCCAATTGCTTCAGGTGGGCCTTCATTTTGTGGTGCACCTCTCACCCAAGAACGCATTTCACATCTCAAATGTGTTAGTGCTTTAGTGGCAACGATATTGTCACCTTTTCAAAAAAGTTTGGTGACATTTTGTCTAAACGAAATTAAGTGAAAAATCCTCTTCGTGACTGAGTGAGCCATGATATCAGTGTTTCTCCACTTGTCTTTTATTGATTATGTCCCACTAATCGCACCTCCCTTCCTCCGACCGCAGGACGAACCCGGTTCACCGGCGGGACTTCTCCCACCCGGGAGACGCCGACTACCAGGCTCCGCCGCCGCCGCCGCCGGCCGGGCAGCCGCTGCCCGAGTGCGAGTTCGGCGTCAACTGCTACCGACGTAACCCGCTGCATCGTCAACAGTTCGCGCACACGTCCCGGCCCAACCCGCGCCGAGAGGCGAAACGGAAAGGTGAGGAAGGGAGGGCGAGGAGAGAGCAGGGAGTCGGGAGAGAGGACGGGATGGAGCGAAATTCCCGAGGTGAGGGTGGTTCTTAAGCACTCGTCGGAAGTTGCGAAGTCGGGGGGGGGGATTGTTTTGTTGGAAGTTCCCATGAAGTGCAACACTCTTTGTCACTGGTTGAGATATCATATTACGCTGCCTTTAGCAGGATTTTGCAGATTTAGCTGGTGACATAACATGAGCTGGAAATCTTCGGTGATGATCCGCCCAGTTTCGGGCTACCCTCGCAGATAAGCTGGCAGCCCCCAGTTAAGCGGTAGACGGACACGGAAGTGAAGATAAGTGGCACAGGTGCTTGCACCGTGTCCGTTCTGGATTATCGCCCGGTTATTTTGTTTTTTATTAGATGAAAAGCGCCGAGATTTTGTTGTTATGTGGGTTTGGCAACACCGCTGCATGCTTGCGTCATAGTTGGCCGGAGAGATTACCCTATAAAATGGTCTTTGAGTTCATTGTTGTGAGATGGGCCCTTTTGATGAGGATGACGATGCCTTTAGCGCGTGCATTGAAGAGTGGAGGAGCTGGTATCACTCCATTCAGGCATTAATGGAATGCTCGTAGGCTGGTGCGTCTCGGGGGCCTCCACTATTGGGGTCCCAAATGTTCGCTTTGGGGTCCCACATGGGACCTCAAAAGTATACAAAGTTACACCCATGGCTCGTAGGTCTAATTAATCTGGGCATCGACTGTCCTTGTGTACTTTCTATTCGCCAATTCTCGATTCATCGACAATGTAAACTAAAAACCCTCAAGTTTTACCTCTGAAATAGATCGTTGATTTTTCCTCACGTCAAGTTAAATTATTTTCGTGCTTCTCCTGTCAGTATTTTGTTAGTATCATCGTTCGATTTGCCACATCCGTGAACACTTACTTATGCCTTTCAACTCATAACAGTCGTGAGGTGCGCGCGCGATACTTGAGTCGCCGCTGTCTCCGCCACTTAAACCGCATCCTGCTGTCGTCCTGGGCGACGCCTTTTTTCAAACCCTGTAACGTTCCCCATCAAGATACCTGGTTGGAACGCGACCAAGGATTCCCGGCGCGCCACGCGTGAGGTGTCGTCTCCACCCAACCCGGAGACCCGGAGACCGCACGTCTCCGGGTTTGGTGACCATCTCTGGCTGCTTGCCTTCATCAGATACAGCATTCATCATATCAGATACCTACGTCCCGCAGAGTGTTCAGATCGCACTCCGATCGCGGACTTTGGCGGAGAAGACGGACTCAGTTTGCCGGAACTGGGGACACGTCACTGCTAGTTTGGAGGGCAGGCGGTGGCTGGGACGGGGAGATAGCGGTCAGATATCTGTCCATCTCGTGAGGAGGGTAGATGTGTGTTTACTGGTGTCACAGGCCCGTGGTTGGAGATGGTGGCGGTTGATTGTCGGTGTTTCCAGGTGGCGCGGGAGATGCAAGTGGATTGAGGTGTTACCTGCTCTTGTTTGAGAGAGATGTGGTTAGGTATGACTCTATTGTAGCAGTGTTAAGAAGGAAATGGGTGGTGTATTCCGCTAGGTCGCATCATCACACTTTAACGGAATATCCAGCTTTTTGTACCCCAGATGTCACCTCACTTATCTTTTTTCAAGCAGTACCGTTTGTGGCGAACTTTCCCAGTTGTCATTCGCTCACCCAACACACTATCTCACCACTCCTATTACACGCTTGGTGCTCAAGTATGCGCGCCTTTAAGTCCCAGTTTGCCAAGAAATAAACATGAAGCAACACACATGGTTCGCATTAGTGACTCCTCTCTGTCCCATTCACAGCGCGTCAGAAGGCCAAAAAGGCCGCCGCCGGTGACACCCCCGACTCTTACGACCTGGATGACTCGTTCATCAACGACTCTGAGTCGGACGATTATGCCCCGGATGACTCGGGCTCGGACTGGTCGGCCGATAAGGGGTCGGGGTCGGATGACGACGACCGCCGCCGGCGGGACCGGGAGGCCAGGAGACTCACCGGCGGACGATAGCAGGGTGGCGCTGGCTGATCGGCACAAATACACGCACACAGGTGGGTGTAAGCTGTTGGGGTACCGGACTCCGGAGCGCTTTTCGGTGTTGGTTTTTGTCAGAATGCTACCAGCCTGCCGGCATTAATTATTGATTTCTCCTTGGTGATATTTACGTGTAGTGTGCGGCTCGCCAATGTGAGGCCAAGTAACTTCCATATAGCTATGCAGAAACTGGCAGCATGCTGATAAAAAGCGACACCGAACACCGCTCGGGCGGTGCCGACAGCATTAGTTGCCAAATCGCTCACTCCATCATATTTATAATATGTTGCGTCTTTTTCGTCCCGTTATCGGTCTGTCTTATTTTCATCCACATCTGATCAAACTAAGCGCATATCCATTGTCCATTATGCAAACATCGCAGGGTAAATCGTCATGCTGGCAACACGTGCGTTTCTATAATCGCTGAATAGGATTTGGGCGTGCTATCTTTGGCTGCGACTCACGGCCCGTCGCGGTGGGCAAAGATACGGCCGCACCGTGACGCAGATTGGCGCACGCGTGGTCGGCCGGCGCGGAGCTGCAGGCTCCGCCGGACTGGAGGTGGCTGTTTAACCGCTCAGCGGGCCGGCGTGACGGGGTGGTTGAAAAACTTCTCGGCCGCAAATTATGCGAAACGGGTGGGCCGTGGCCGTCCTTTCTGGGCTGTGGGATATTCCGCCGCGACAGTCCCGGATGCCACGAGATGGACATGTAACTGGCTTAATTTTCATGTGGACTGCACAATGGTATAATTTGGTGGAAATTCCAGGTAGTTTGTGAAGTAACTTGTTGCAGTTTATGCCAATCACTGGCGGTAAGACAAACGGCGGTTTTATGTCCTAGCTGTCGGTTTTTCCGGATTTTTGCCGCCGGCTAAACAAATCACAGTCGTGCTGTGTGGCCAGCCTGGGAGCCTGACTAGCTCGTGGTGTTACTGCTGGCGGCTCCTCCGAGATAACTAACCGACAACGATCAGTAGTGAGACCACCCTCAGCGGTGCTCAGCCGCGGACACCCGAGAGTGACGCGGCCAGAGTCACCAGGGCGATATGGGAGCGGAAAGTCCCGGACCGAGTTCGTTTTCGGTGATAGCAATCGCCGCTTGGATAACTATTGCGTCATTGCGTCCGAGATTGGACCATGAATCTGCGCCGATGTGCGATGCGAGGATAAGATGCCTGTTACTGGCTCCGTGTCCGCCTATAGCTCCTGGTATTACGTGGCCACCAACGTATCTGCCGAAGCTTGCGCGACAGTAGCAACTGTAGTCTGCGAGTAATTGTGAGTGGCTAGTAGCAACTGACAATACAATTTGGCGTTCGACAGAAGCAAGTTGTAAGACAGCTCAGCGAGTTGCATACTTTTTGAACGGTGTCTCTTCGTTGCGATTCTGAGGTCCGTAAGAAGCTAAAGAGGAGCGCTTCTTGGTTCCCAGTCAGAAAGAAGCTGACCTTTGGCGAATTTGAAAAAGGTCTCGACATTGACAACAACTATAGCAACAACGTTTTGATTAACTCTTGAAATGACCAAAATCTTTATGTATGGTTATTTCACTTTTAACTGCCTCTAAACTTTATAAAGCTTTTTTGAAGCGTAGTAAATGAAGCTGGTCAGACGGAACCATCACTCGGTGTCCGCTGGTATCACTTGTCGGTGGTCACTTGTAGTCTTCTGCGATGTTGGTTGTCCGTGAGTTGTTTATTTTGAACATTAAAAAGGTCAGGTGTCAAAACGTTAAAGCTAAAACTAATGGATCCCTTGCATTGCCAGTTGTATCGCTCATTATTTGAGTCTATGCTTTATAATTGTGTTACCGCGACGGCGTAACATCAAAGATACAGGAAGCGTTCAATCGAACGCTTTGGATGTTTAGTTAGTTAAAGTGGAAATGCTCCTGTAGGCCTGTATGGCCTGTAGAGAAGCATTACTACGCTGACTGTGTAGCAATAGTCAGTGGAACGCTTAGCCATAGAGACTAAAGGCCTGGCTACACTATGCGTTTTCTGCGTGCGTTTTTTGCGAGTTTGCGTGATTTGCAGAATATCGTTCTAGAAAGAAACGAAATTACGTTTTTGTCATATGCTTTTCATATAAACTTTTAATTAACATAAACGTTTTATTAATTTTTTATATCAATATTAAAGAAGTTTATTTAATAATAACCCTTTTTCTAGAACGATATTACGCAAAACCCGCAAACACGCAAAAAACGCACGCAGAAAACGCATAGTGTAGCCAGGCCTTAATCGCTAGTGTTTTCTGAAATGCATTACCCTCATTTTAAATGCATTTACCCTCAGTCAAATCCAGCCACCTCGATGAGTTGTTAGGCCTCGAAGGTCCGGCTCATATATCAGCTAAATGTGCAGGTGGTCGCTAAAGTGCAGCCGATTCACAGCAGATGATGCTTCGTTGTATGCAGGGTGATGTCACATTCTATTTATATTTTCAATGCAGTTGTGGGCTACTTAGCAAGGTCTTTCAGGCTTCAACCAATCTCGCATTCCCGCTTTGGATTCTTGTTTGTAATTTTAATTAAAATGTGCATGTGTTTCTAGTCATATGTATTCTCCGATATATTATGCCGATGACTGTTCTTGGAATTTCCAGAGGAGTATGAAGATGCAACTGACAATAATAGCTCCAAAGTCCAAGCTATCCCTTGTCCCATATGTGGTACCCGCCGCTGTTCCGTTTCATTTCACTCTCCAAGCTTCCACAGATAAATACTATATTTTCAGACATGCATACGATAACAGTAACACTAACACAGATCGGCTTAGAAATCGCCGTACGTTATAGCAGAGCCAGATTCGCCAGCGCCCTAACCTCGGGCTGCGTGCGCCGCTCTATACGTCTTCGTCGACTGACCTAGCAGTCGACCACGCGCCCAACAGTCACCGCGCCCGCCTCCCCGCCGCGCTATCTAACGATTATTCCAGGACCGTTTCATATCGGTCGAAGAGTGGGACATGAGATCTATTTCCTCTACAGGTATCGAGGCGACTCGCGGCGCACGTCAGCTCTGATGGGCGGATCGTCTGAAACGTCGAGAGCGCGGCTGGATGGAAGCAAAGGTGCTGAGATGATCACGATCGGTCTCTCCATGAATGCTGGGGAATGCGAGACGACTTGCCATGCTGTCAGCAGGCTGCTCCAGATGCTTGTCGCCTCAGAAAACAGGTGTGTTGAAGCTGCAATTACGCTCACTGTTGCTCAGACATGCCTCGACACAAACAACGCCTTGAAGAACCCTGGCTGATGCTGCCACCGCTAATGATTCTGCCGGTAGTCGCAATCTTCCGCCAGTAACCGCAGTGTGCTGCTCCAGCCGTCGCGGCCCAGAGCAGGGCCTGCCTCAACAGGCGTTTTTCTCGGAGTGACGATGTCGTTATGTGACGCAGAAGATGCCGTCGCCGTTGTGTGCGATCTGGGCTCAGGTGATGTCGGGTCATGATTTGGACGGGTCAGCTCTCTGGAGAGTTACTCGTACTTTTCGCCACCGTCCAAACCGTCTGCGAAAGGAGAAACATGGGTCAGTACCTGCTGGTTGTGAGCGTGATTTTAGCCCGGCCTTTCGGGTGTTTTTTAATTGTCGCGTGGTTGTAAGTCAGCTGATAGTACGACACGTCTCGGGTAATGAGTTCAAGCATGTAGAACGCTTCTGTGATAATCTGTGCACTGATCTTTGGTCAACACTTGCGCTTTATGTATGCCATGCATGTCGAATTGTCGAGTCATAATCCGAGCTGCCTAGATTTGCTGTGCTGTGAGCACTGTTTTGATGACTGAGCCAACGATGTTCATGTTTGTTATGTCACGACTCATTGTGTGTTTATCAAATACATGAGGCAAAGCCACAGTTTGACAGCTGCTGGCAAGTTTGAAGCGGTCGTTTTAAGTGTTTATCGTAGTAATTAGTCAGAAGTCCGGTTGCACTCTACGGGAGGTAGTCTTATCTCTGATAATAGGCTTATTGTGTACCAGAGATCCGTTTTTATTCGACAGCATTGGATGCTGCGCATACCGCCGTCTTAATTTATGTGCCGTGCTCCTGTCCTCAGTTCCGTCCGATAGGATTACTGTATCCGTGTTTGGTCAGCACCCACAAGGCCGTGAGGGGCGGGGGAGGGGACGACAGAAAACTGGAGCGTCTCATGACAAAGCTGGACTTTTAAAGCAGGCATTAGAACAATTCAAGATTATGTGACAGAAAGGCTTGATATATGCTTGAAGTGAAAAAATGATAGAGATTTCGATAAGGAAGATTTGTTTTATTTGGATTCGTGGTTCGGTAGCTGGAGTTGTCCTCTTTTTGTCTTTCGGGGTCCCTATTTAGCTGAAAGCTGGGCGAGGTAGCCGGGAAACTAACTTCTTACGCAGGCACACTCAACACTGCCATAACTGCAATAGTACAAATAAGGCAGACGAAGGGTCACGGACTCTGCGCTTCTCTTTCTCAGCTGCACTCTTCATTCCAATTGTTCGAAGTAATGCCGCATTAGCACATAGGCATGTTGAGAGTTCCATTCAAACGGCATGCCATGGACCTCGAAAACAGCTGATTAGAATAAAAAATGGTGCAGTATTCAAATGTGTTTGCATCATCCCTGAGGCATTTCAAGCACGTTGTAGACCTATCACTTCAGGCGCTATCAGCAAGAAATACCTAATGTTTATTTAGGGTGCGTACGCTGTAGTGACTTGCAGCGCTGAACTGGCATGGTTTTGTAGCTGATTTCGCATTGCTTGTGATGTCAAATAAATTTGTAAGCAGTTTATAGCAAATTAGGCAAATGCACGAATTTTTCGCCGGCTAGCAATGCTTTATGCATTCGCCCCCCGCATTTATTGCTCGTCGTCGACTGTTTTACTTTTTCGTCCGATCTGTTCGAAATTGCGGCGGTCGCATTATTGTCAGTGACCGCTCCCTCGGCCCGTGCCGTCTGCTGGAGGGTTTTTGACCCCTCAGAATACCCCACTGACCTGCTCTCGAAGTAAGTCTCAAGCGAGCGACCTTACGGTAGTCCGCTGACCTGGTCTTCCGAGAGGGCTCTGCCTCTGACCCTCACTTTGGTACCCACTGACCTGGTTACTCTCGGGACGATCTCTGCCCCCTCTCACGGTATCCCACTGACCTGGTCGCTCCCGGGACGGTCCCCCGTCTCTAACGCTCCTGTACCCCACTGACTTGGTCTCTGGTTTGGATTCTGATATTACTGGGTACTCGGCCACTGACCTAGTCGCTCCCGGGACGGTCTCTGACCCCCTCAGGGTACCCCACTGACCTGGTCGCTCTCGGGACGGCCGCGGTACGCCGCCCGGCAGTCCTCCGCCGCCCAGCTGGTCGATACTGAGGCCGCCGCCGATCAGCAGGCAGGCGGCCGGGGAGAGCGGGATGGGCCCGCCCGGCGGTCGCGGCGGTATCCTCTCATTGAGCGGTGATCCCACACCGCTGGGCCGCGCCGACGCCGCCACCAGCACCGTCAACAGCACCAGCCAGCGCAGCGCGAGACTCGCGAGCCGGGCCATGGCGAGAGGCGTCTGCCGGCCGGCGCCGGGCGCGCACCATTTATACCCGGCGGCGGCGGCGAGACGACGACCGGCGGCACCCTGCTCCTACCCCCGACCTCCCACCGACCTCCTCCGACCTACCCCGACCCGCTGCATCTGTGGTCCGACGGGCTGAAAGGCACGGTGAACGGCGGAAATTTTCATAAACTTTTACTAAAAATCAAATCCCATAATGCAGAACCTCGAATCTCGATAAAGCCAGCTAGGTATTCGTAAAAACAGGCGCAACAGCCAAGATCACCAAAAAGATCAGAATAGCTCAAAGGCCTGCCGGGACATTCAAGGATACTAATTCAAGCCGAATCTTTTGAAACCAGCTGCATTTCCGGGATAGGTCAGGTCACTGGTGTTTGACATCAATCATCATAAGAGAATCTCTGCACGGTCCAAAAATAACGCAGCTTTGCAACGTTCTCCGTGCACACTGCACCAAGGGAATTTTATGCATAGAGATGAAGCTATTTAACGAAATACGAACTATTAAGCTGACAAGTTCTCGTAATTTGTATTTCTCGGATTTTTCATGAGCGTGAGCTGTGGTCAGGTGACCTAAGTGACTACGTGACTAGTCACTAGGGTCGCTTGAGGTCATCGGAGTTTTTCGTCAATAAATCCCGGCTAAACTAACCTGGCGAGTCGAGAAAAGTGTCAATGCATTCTGAATGAGCTACCGAATCGAACGATAGGTATGTGCTATGACCTTCAATCAGCTTCATGACCGAGTGACTTTGAACTTTGAGTGATTTTGGCCTTGACCTCAGATCAACTCATGTTGACCTTTTCCAAACACGCCTAAAGCGTTTCTTTCGATGCAGGTGAATATGAAGAACATGGTGGACCCAAAGCGCAGCTCTATGAACATTTTTCTGGCGAAGTTATCAAAATCCGGACCTCTACCTTGGGGCCCTTGTCCCTTGACCTGACCTCGGAGGTCACCACTTGTCCTGAAGCCTTTACCGCCCTGCGGCCGACGCGTGGAAAATGGGAATAGGTGCCTACGTCCAGCGAGAAGACTGAATGTTTAGCATAACGCCTATGGCGGCGCATCGAAATGAAATGGGCAACCTGCCCTCCCCCTCAAAAGCTCTCCATCCCCTTCCCTCCTCGGCTGGGGCCGCCGACGGATAAAACAGTAGCGATCTCCCTAATCAGCTCTTTTGCTGACGTCACGCTCCGTCGACCTCCACTGCCAGCCAGGCGGATGTAGGAAGCCCCGCCCCCTGGCTACGTCACCACCAATCACGGCACAGAATCGAGCCACCCGTCCGCGCTGCCGACTTCCTCACTTGGTCGCAGATTCGTGAGCTGAGTTCTGTATATACCGTGAGCTGAGTATGTATCGGACTCTGGTCTCAGCTCTGTTCATACTTCACTTTACCCGTGTTTCTTAGCAGAACCTACTCATTTCATACCTCCCCGAAGTGTCGCGTACGATTGAAATGACGGCCTGCATTCCTTGTTTCGATTAGGTAATAGAAGGTCCCTATTTGTCGTTCGGCGGTGCTTGTATGACAAATGTCTTGTGAAAATATGTTTTATCCTACCTACTTGTTTGGATGTGTGGCTCTGCAATTCGTCTACTTTCCAGCGCTAGTCCGACTCTCCATCGCCTCAGCCCCCGCTCAGCACCGCCCCACAGACAGCGTTTGCACATAGAGGTGTTATTATTAAGGATGGGGAAAGCACAGCCACTCACTACTGATCTCATACTTTCCTCTCAACTTCTCTCCTCTAATCCCAACCAGCGCGCCATAGCCAGCGCGGCTGGTTGAGCCCGTGTACTTACCTACATCTCAAGCACTGTCCCTGACACTGTGCACGCCAGACACAATCACTGCGAGCGCCCAGCGGCCGTCGGGGTCTCGGCCGACCGGTCGAGATGACCGGAGACTGCGCCTGGAGTCTGGTGACCGGAGACTGGAGCTGGAACTGTAGACTCCCTGCTGGAGTCTCCGACTGGAGCCTCCCCACTGGAGACGACTCCCTCTCTGGTAGTGGTGACTGGAGACGACTCGAGACTGGAACTCGAACTGAACTGCCTTGAACCGCCGAGCACACGCTTTATATACGGCGGCGCCACGGCCAGCCTCGCCCCCTCCCCAGTTCGCCGTCGGGAGGAGGCCCACGTGACACCACCGTCGAGCTGAGCTGGTCCAGGGCGGGGTCGCCTCAGGCCCTCGGCACCCCCGCCCCGTACGTCCCCACCCCGGGCGCTCCTCGTCGGCCGTGACTCGCCCCACCGCGCGGGCTGGCTGCACCGCTGCCCCGGGCGCCGTCGCCGGGCTGCCGTGCCCTTGGTCCACTTTGCCAGGGTCGGCTGGTCCTGAGCCGGCTCCGGCGAGCTGCGGCTTTGCCTCCGGCGTCGCCGTCAGGCCGACCCAGCCTTGGCCGCTCGTTCCGGGTGCTGGCGGCCCCGCGGCTCGGAGTGGCGATGTGAGGGCTGGCCGGTATCTCCAGTTTTCCACATCCCTTCCACCAATATGAAGAACAAATGATTGTCGCCACGGGGGAGGGAATGAGGTAGATCTGCGTTCTGCCGGCATACGAGACACAGTCAGCACCAATCAAACACACTTGGGCAGAGACATTTGGTCGAGAAAAAGGCCCCTGATCGTTGCAGCTCCCTGACTGTCATCTGCTACTGCATAGCCCGGTTATGAAATCAATGTGGACAAGTTATCAGAGCCAGTTACTGCACATCACGACCAGGATAAGACATGACTGTCTGCGGGAAAGGAAAAGGAGCCGCCATATTGTGAACGGCTGTGGCCATTTGACTTGGGGCCGTTGCTTACTCAACTCACTGCGTTGGAGTCTAGTTAGTCTAGTTGTGAGCGTGATCCGTGTGCGCCAGTAGCTCGCCGTTGTCAGTTGGACAGCCAGGAAGACCTGGGAATTACTCAATGCGATAGGAGGATGTCCAGGTTGTCATGCTAAGAGCAGTCCTACCGCGCCGTGCCTTGGACCTTCATAGGGCTGCGTAGTGGAGTTGCCGTGAGCGGAAACGATTCGCACTGCGATATTACGCAGAGCCAGACCAGGGTTGAGCTGCTTTGGTGGCCGGCGCTCCGTGGTGACGATCTGAGTATGTTGATATCCAAGAACAGCGGTGACGGTTTCGCACGTGACACGAACCACTGGTATGCAATCAGGCAGCCTACGTGGATGACGGGTCTCCGCTCGGGATAGCCGGTAGGCCTCACCGGTTCAGGATATCCGCATAACCCGATTGCGTCTTGAGGAGACCATTAGGCAGGCGCAGCTTGCCATGGGTCAGCAGAAAGCCGATTGACAGCTGTCGCAGGTCAGTTTGGCCCGCACTGTCCGTGCAACCTCAATTGCCCGTGGGTCTAGTCAGAGATGTACCACATCGCGGTTAATCCACTTTGTATGCCCCTTTGGTCCTTTTTTACGACTACGAAGAACAATGCTCGGCATGACTAGGGAAATGTATCGTAACGAACTGGGTAAGGGTATGAGGACAAACGGCCAACTTGCTTTTACTGAGAGCGAAATTGGGAGAGACAGGCTTTGTCAAACCTCACGTCAAGCACTAGCGTTCATCACAGACATTTCACAACTAGCCCATTTAATTTCTCCGGGCTCTACTCAATTACGATAAAATTGGCCTTATATTCACGTGGCGGTTTAAAACGGGCATGTCGACAGAGCGGGAGGATACAGGAATGCGAATTGGGCACTCGTGAACTGTTTGTGGATTACGCAGAAGGCTCTGATCATCAGGCAGTTGGACTATTTAATCTCTTTCATGATGGGCCACTTATCTCACTCATTTACTCTCACTGGCTACTTTTATGAATCAACAATTACTGCGCAAACTAGCCGAGTTGCTCAATTGAAACGTAATGCCATTTTCTATCCAATGCCTACCACTTTACAAAAATAGCTTGTTTTAATCAGGGCAATCACCATTGCCGAGATGACAGTCGGAAGCGGCATTCTGAGTAGACTACTGATCAATCCAGCTCAAGATGACTACTGGAATGTAAAAGAATCTGCTCTGAGCTTATTTTCTCGGTCACTATGGACGTCATCTATTTCTACTCTTATTTCTCAGGCAGCTCCTGACATTGAAACCATTATTCAGTCTATGTCTGAATAGCTTTAAAGACTAGAGTTCTCGGAACCGATAAGGCGGTCTCCGGACCCGAGTGGACCTCCTCGGTCCGACTGTCAGGACCGGCTCGTCCACAGCCTCGCACAGAGGCTTATTATCGGCGACTGTCGAGTCCTCTGGAGCGGCGCTGTGACTGGGCAAAGCTCAGTGCGAGCAGTCTCCACTCTCCAGGGTTGGGCTAGCACTGCTGTTCCTGTAAAGAGGTGTAAGGCGCGCCATCCGACTGGGAGACGTTCCCACTGTATCGCTGTCGGGTGGTATCATGGTCAGTTCAGTTCTCCTGTCAGCTGTCAGCATGGGCTTATAAAGCTGTCGGTCCTCCAGTGTTAACGTTGCATGGATAGTCCCTTGAGGACTCCAGGGCTCCTTCCGGTCGTCACTGTGCAGTCACTATCCACAGACACAAATGCCATCGGGTACTATCGGATGTGTCCGCTTCACCTCGCCCGATCTGACCCAGTAGTAAGACGGGAAGACACTCGGTGACGTTTGATTATAGGCAATTCCTTGAACTTGAGCTGCAGCTTTCAAGTTACAAGAGGAGAGCGCACGACCCCCTAGTTTAACCTTCCCCGGCAGAAGGTAAGGCGCTATTGCACGGACTCCACTGGGCTCCTTTCGGCGTATATACGACTTCACCGAGTCCTGCTTAGCTCCTAAATCAAACGTCCCGGTCACGGAGGAAGCCTCCGGCGAAATATAGTCCTAATGACACATATTTCCCAACGACACACTAGTCCCGATCGGCTCTAACATCCTAACTAAGTGCACCTGCAGATAATGACTCACTTAGACACCACTGAATCTGGACAACAATCCACCGGCCCATCACCCCTCTCAATGTCACACCCGCAAACAGCCTCCTGCTGTTGCCGACAGGGCTACAAGAACACCTGGTTTCCTGTAGAAGCTCCTGGACCACCAACACTGTACTGCTCCCGACCACCAGTTTGGACTCGAATTTCACAGCACCACGCTTCCACGACTGATCAGACACCACTGTCGGATGAATGACTGCCAGAGCCACACAAGCCGACACTCCTCTTTGAGACAAGACAATAGCGGCACAGTTTACGATGTTTCTGATACGGGACCGGCTAGCCACTGTAAACACAAACTTCACCGCCAATCAGGAATCCAGGAGAAAACACTCCCACCAATCACAAAGCCGTTATGAGGCGTCCCAAGGTTACCGTCACTGGGTCAGTCGGGCGCCCAGTCTACACAACGTCGGGACCCGTGAAGGGGAAAGGATCACCTCAGCTGGGGCGGTGTGCGAGCGGCCGATGGAGACCTTTGTCAGACAACAGAAGAAAAAGGTGCTTTAAATTTGAAATTAAACAATCAGCTCAATTAATTTTGAATGGAGACAGTAACAGAACACCAATTCTTTAATTTCTATTAAAATTAGCCACAGCATCCCTAAAATTTAGAAGGTTCGCCGTTCGGTTAAAAACGGAAGCCATTAAATGACAAAGTCAATTCAACAACTCTATCCCACTTCTGACACCAGTGTGAAAATATGTTTTATCCTACCTACTTGTTTGGATGTGTGGCTCTGCAATTCGTCTACTTTCCAGCGCTAGTCCGACTCTCCATCGCCTCAGCCCCCGCTCAGCACCGCCCCACAGACAGCGTTTGCACATAGAGGTGTTATTATTAAGGATGGGGAAAGCACAGCCACTCACTACTGATCTCATACTTTCCTCTCAACTTCTCTCCTCTAATCCCAACCAGCGCGCCATAGCCAGCGCGGCTGGTTGAGCCCGTGTACTTACCTACATCTCAAGCACTGTCCCTGACACTGTGCACGCCAGACACAATCACTGCGAGCGCCCAGCGGCCGTCGGGGTCTCGGCCGACCGGTCGAGATGACCGGAGACTGCGCCTGGAGTCTGGTGACCGGAGACTGGAGCTGGAACTGTAGACTCCCTGCTGGAGTCTCCGACTGGAGCCTCCCCACTGGAGACGACTCCCTCTCTGGTAGTGGTGACTGGAGACGACTCGAGACTGGAACTCGAACTGAACTGCCTTGAACCGCCGAGCACACGCTTTATATACGGCGGCGCCACGGCCAGCCTCGCCCCCTCCCCAGTTCGCCGTCGGGAGGAGGCCCACGTGACACCACCGTCGAGCTGAGCTGGTCCAGGGCGGGGTCGCCTCAGGCCCTCGGCACCCCCGCCCCGTACGTCCCCACCCCGGGCGCTCCTCGTCGGCCGTGACTCGCCCCACCGCGCGGGCTGGCTGCACCGCTGCCCCGGGCGCCGTCGCCGGGCTGCCGTGCCCTTGGTCCACTTTGCCAGGGTCGGCTGGTCCTGAGCCGGCTCCGGCGAGCTGCGGCTTTGCCTCCGGCGTCGCCGTCAGGCCGACCCAGCCTTGGCCGCTCGTTCCGGGTGCTGGCGGCCCCGCGGCTCGGAGTGGCGATGTGAGGGCTGGCCGGTATCTCCAGTTTTCCACAGTCTGCATAGTGCAACAGATCGCTAATGGTCGTAATTTGCTGGTAAAACAGCGCCGCTGCGCGAGTTTGGAGTGGACATGACAGTCTGATGGTAGGTATATAGTCGACCCACTGACTGAGTTAGTTGATTCACTCCGCTATACACTCCAGTCTCCGGGATGTTCATTCCTTTGCAAGCGGCGCGTTCGCTAACATGAAGCGATATCGGCTCACGGTACGAAATTTGAATGATAACGTAAATGATGAAATGAGCCCCTTCTTTCGAACTGCGCGGCTTGATCTATAAGATATCAAACGTCCCGATTGTGTCGATAGGAAAGAAGGTAGCAGATTAATTCGATCACATGGTGATGGCGTTGACCACGTCTCGTTATTTAAATGACCTCATGTTGGTTCTTCCGCGCACTCCCATTCACAGTGTTTACAGGACGTCATATGCTGGTTTTTTTGTTGACATCTGGTGCATCCACGGATTACACACTCACGGTTTACACGACCACACCTCTGCCAGGCCTCTCATCTCTCCACTCTACCCCGAATGTCTCCCCGCTGACACGGACGATTTGACTCGATATGGGCTATCTATGTCCCGAGCTGCAGGCAACCCATCACGGAACAGTCAAGGAGACAGTGTGGCTCAGTGCCGGTCGCCGCAGTGGCGGATCCAGGGGGGGGGCAAAATGGGCATTTGCCCCCCCCCCAAACGGCATAATTTTAACATTACGCCTATGGACGTTGCATGGAAAGAATCGATAAATTGTTATGGTTTGCCCCCCCCCCAAAAAAAAAAAAACTCTGAGCTGGATCCGCCTCTGGGTCGCCGTCATTGTCACGTTGCACTTACCTATTGTGTGACGTTGCAACTTGCAAGATATGCTGCAGAACGGGAAGCGTCGTTTTATCGCGATGCGTGGTGTTATTCATTCGTCTGGTTTTGGTTGTCCGTCGTCTTTTTCAAGTTCGTAGCGTCAAGTTGTAAGACATTTTATATATAACAAAACCTGCAATATTACGTCACCATAAGTTGATCAGATAAAAAGGTTTGTGAAGAACAGCGAGCGGGAAGAAATATTTGGACTCAGATGTGTCGATCCTTGTAAAAATTTGATTTCTGCAGGATTGTTGAATCAGACAATCCTGCAAGTCCTTCCACACAGTTCCCTTCCGGGGCCTGTCAAATTCAGTGCGCTCCAGAAGCAACTTTTCCCTAAACAAGCCGAGCTCTGAAGTCTGAAGCTCCAGCGGGAAGCAGCGCCCGGGCCGCTGTCCGCCTCGGTGCTATGCGGCGCAGTATACCTCCCGTTCTGCCAGGCGGCGCTGGCCGCTCTGCGCTCGACTCGTAGGATAAATGTAAAAACGACAGAACTGCTTTCCCTGGCGGCGGCATGGGGAGGAGAAATATTCGATTTTTGGCATGTACATGTAGAAAAAGGACAAATTTGAATGGCCGATGATCAATTTTGGCGCCTGCCGCTGACAGCAAGTAAACCGCTTTAACCCTTCAATCACACGTCTTTCACAGTCATCTGGTTGAGCTTTACCAATCCTAAGTCTTTCCTTCCTTCACCTCCTCCCCTTTCCCCTCCCGTCCCCCCTCCGCCCCTCCCCAGATCCGGCGTAGCTCCGGGTAGGAGCTGCAGCTGCCAGCTGTCCTGTCCGGCCCGTAATTACGGGATAAGCGGACGATCCGAGACAACCAGACACGGATCTCCAATGTCGCGATAGTAGACAATCCGCTGTTATGTCTGGGCTCGGATTTTGGGTGCGTAAAGCGAGAGTTCAGGACCTGCTTCAGGGTGTTTGGTGTTGTGCAGAGCAGATTTGAAGTGCAGGAATGTCATGTTATAGGTATGCTTCGAACGTTTAGCCTGAGCTGAACCGCTTACGATTTCTCAACGATTGGGCATTTCATAGAGTGTTTCTCGCATAAAAGTAAGAATATGAGAAGAGGGTTTATGGGCGCAAAATAGCCACTGCAGTCGGTCCACCCCCAAGCCCAATGACAAAAGAAAATCGGCATCCCTTCGTTCATGCAGCGATTTAACTATAGAGTTCGCCGTTTATGCATAAATTCAACTTTCGAAGAGAAACTGTGTTATTTTTGTTGTGTTTGGCTTAAATTGCTCATCAGATACTTCCTCTTAGAGACCCGGGAGCTATGATGCTGCACTGTTCACTGTTCAGTGTCGTTCAGTGTTCATCGCTGCGTGCCTCATGTCAGATTATCCACGTGAGCTCCCCGACATTCGTGACACCATGCTATACTTTATCCGTGTGTACTGGGTGAAGTGGGGACATCCAAAGACCTCTTTGGCTACTGCCGGCGCAGGCTGACGGCTGGCAGAGGCGGATCTGGCTGAGCGTTCAGCGACTGGCTTAAGTTGTCCCGAAGAGACCGAGACTGTCGACCAAGGCGACCGAGCTGTGTAAGGTCTGGGAATTACCTGTCCGGCAAGCGGCCAACATCCGGCTCCTACAGCTCCCTGGCCCGTGTCAACGAGACATCGGACCCGTGCCGAGACACGGGATCCATGCCAAAGAATGATCCGTGTCCCGTGTCATGCAAGACATGGGCAGATAGTTCCTTGTCATGTGCAGCACCTTTTTCCTCGTCCAGTGAAGTTCCGAATTTCAGCTTCCAGCTCGGAGCAATCAGATGCAAACGACTCTCGATTGTGTCATTACGTGGCAACTGATTACACACGGACTTATGTTACGTCGTAGGGCGCAATCTTTATTTTTCCACCGGAAAAAGCAAGGCGCGCATGTCATATTCTAAGACGCCTGTCTCGTCCTATACACACTCGTTTTTCTGCTAAAACGTGTAATTTCATTTGTAAACGCGTTGTATCAAGAGGATTTTCAGGCAAAATCTCGTAATCGCTCGTTATTTATTGAGCGTTACTTATGGATCCAGCCAGGTGCCTGATCTTTTTGGGCAAGATTTTGGTGAACAATGCGAGCAAATTTAGAAGATTACATAATAGTGTTATTCACTTCGGTGTAATTACACGTTAAGTTACATTCCGGGACTTATGAATGATATTTAATCCTCAAAGCATCTCAAGAGCCTAACATCAGTTAGGTCACACGGTACAGGCGTGATAAAGGAGCGGAGTCGCAAGCATATCTACAAGGTTTATGAGCTGCTTTGAATCTTTCTCGTGCAAAGTCATGAGCATTATCGTTATCTTCCACCAATCGTTGTCTTGATATAAGGAGACGACGCAATGCTAGAATTAGCATAAGACTTACGTCACATAAAATTGACACCAGTGCGGCCCCTTGAAGGTCATCTGTGCTATTGTAGTCTTGTGGACTTCAGTGCTCTGAGAAAAACACGTTGCAATTCTGAATGAATCTTAAGATTTTTTAACTTTTCAGGGGGATGAGCATTCGAACCCAGGTATATATATATATATATATATATATATATATATATATATATATATATATATATATATATATATATATATTTTAGCAATTTTGTCCGAAAGGATGAATGGGTGGCTATGGGCTCGGGTGCCCCGCTAAGCAGTGCTTGTTGCGAATGACACCACGGGCCCACCACCCCACCTTGCCCGCGCCCGGTTCACCGGTGATAATTTGGATCGAAAGTTTAACGTGCCGCAGGTAGATGGCGGCACGGTCCTCCCGGGTCTAGCGTGGCCCTCTCTCGCCAGTTGCCAGCTGGCTTAAAGGTAGTGTGCCAGCTTTCTCGGACCATATGGAGTTAATGACCCGGATAAGGAGAACCGGATTTTTAGAACTTATCCATACCTTCAAAACTTATGGAAACGTCTTAAATTCTTCAAATTTTGAGTACCCCAGTGCGAAATTCGCCCCGACGGGTTGTCGGTCGTACCCCAACCACATTTCACACCACTATGAACAATAAATGCACACACTAAAATCGCTATTACCGATAGGCTCATCCAATCAAGTTTCGATAAACCCGTTCATCATCATCTCCTGCGGTTTCGAACACGCCTGTTAGGTGGCTTCTGATGCTCGTCGAGGTCGGAATTTCCAAATACGCGTGGTGCGTCGGGCCGCGCGCTCTGACTTCGGCCAAGAAAAATGCGTCAGCTGATCATTGTCATTTCTGCCACTTGCGTGTGGTGAAAGGGGGTCATAACTTAAGAGACGGCTGTTTCATATCAATTATTTTACATAAAATCATATTTCAAACCACAAATTAATGTTCGACAGCCAAATTTAAGAAACAATACCAATACATGCTTACAGTTTAAGGCTCGACATTGTGTTGTCTACGATTAGACAGCTGATAATTCATTCCCGTACGTCGTATGGTCGTAACACTATAATGACCTTTGCTTATTGTCACAAGTGCGCCGCATTCGCGATTGTTGCCCGACGCCTGTTTGCAGGTGAGCCCACTACAGTTGTTATACATATCTAAAAACCGATAAACTTTTAGGCGAAAAAGGCACTATTCCAGGCCCATTTTTGATTTTTTTTTTTTTGCGATATTAGGTAAAAACAGAAGCTTCTTATCCTAGGAAAAATAAAACGGGAAATCTTTCAAAGGTGGCACACTACCTTTAATATAGGAACGCATGTCAAACGACGTGGAGCTTCCCGGCCGCGAACTCGCTGCCACCGAGTTAGGAGACGGACGCCTTATCCACTAGGCCACGGGGATATTAGCTGAAATCACTGAACCAATTTCATTGGTGACTTGCTAAAAGCGATGTTGGATGTTGCATAACTTCGTCTATGCAGACGTGCCAGACAAGGACGGCGATTTTCAGGAAGCTTCTCTATTTGACTTTATTGCGCTGGTGCTTGTTGTTGATATTCCATACCTCAGCCATAACAGCCTTGTTACGATTACTCGTAGGTATATGCGCCGCAACGATTCAACTCCTCATTCATGACACCACAGGGAGCCCGACATAACATGGAGCACCACCCCACACTGGGATGTAGTAACACTCGCGGGGGGGCCGGACCACCTCTAGGAATCCGGAC